GGCATAATATATATTATGCTATTATTTTATATCTTAGTGGCTAAAATATAATGTATTTTAAAGTTATTCAATGGTTCAACCTCGACCAACCCAATTAGTCCAATTTTTATCATTTCAAATATATATTATATAATTATTTGATATCATAATGATCAAATTATAGTGTATTTTATAGGGAATCATTTGGTATTTGTTAGTAAAAAACTAAACATAAAGATCTATTTGGTTATTTTAAACATTAAACCGATCCTAATCATTTTTAGTTCCTTTTGGATTTCTATGGTTTTATTCCCGAATAAGTGATGTGCAAATGGCGAATTGTAGTCGTCTCTTTTCTTTCACTATTTTTTATTTTCAAATAGAAAGTTTAAAAGTAAAGAATAATTAGAATTTGGTATGGGTCGGTCAAGCAGGCTGAATTTCAAGTTTTTTAGCCCATTTGTTTTATGCATTGCAAATTTATTAGCATGTTGATGGAAATGGCTTGGAAAGAAGACATATAAGTTGTACCTTTGCAGAAATGTCCTCAAATGTTTGAATGCTTTGTGAATCTGGTTCCATGACTTTTGTGATGGTGTATGTGCTTGACGATTGCTCGATGTTGTAACTGCTTAATTTGAGAGAATCTTTTGATTTTCCCTATGAGTTGTGATACCAGTTCTGGTGGTTGCAGCATGTTATCGTTGCTGGCCTGTAAAAGTTGTTCCGCCGTGATGCTAAATATCTTTCTTTCTTTTTTAACAAATTGTGTAGTAGTGTTATGAAACAGACCACCCATGAACGCTACGCTTATTATGGTTTGTTCTAATTTGCGGTGGTGAGAAATTGTGAATTGAGAATCATATTCGCCTACCACACTGTGTCTGGCTGGTGGTTGCTTACTGTGCTCTCTAGAGTTATGAAACAGACTACCCATGAACGTTACCCTTAAGAGTACATAACTTCGCGAAAAACCAAATTTAGGCAATCAAAGGTGTTGGATGTGTGATGATTTTTTATGGCTTAATTGTTTGTGAATCGGATATCTGATCTTTGTATGGTTAGAGGGGATGTTTGCTTAGTAGAATAATCCATTTTAATTCATGTTTATTTTTAACATGAACTTTAGTAACTCAAAACCTTCGAGACACATATCACCTACTGCATTGTATCATTTTGCCTGGGTGCTTGCTGTGTTGTCAAACTTCTTTGCTGCTGCTGCTTTTACACTAACAGGGAGTTAAAAACCCATGAATGTTTCCGTTTGACACAAACAAGAGGACTTGCTTCTAAATCGTGCAATAAAGATGATTGGAGGAAACATCTCTGTTGCAGTTGATATACTGGAGACCAGAACAAAAGCAACGTATAACATCAAAACCAACCATCTGAACTATTAGCATTGTTGCTTTACTCTCTTTTCGTGGTTGAGTCTCCTTCAAAAAATTTAGTTTGTTTTTAGAAAATTTTGCTTCTGCAGTCCTGTCTTGCCACCAACACGTTCAGTAGATGGAGATGGCTGAAGTGAAGGCTATTTTTGTGTTGGATAACTCTTTTCTCCGACAAAAATGGAGTGAAGAAAGGAATTATGATCAGTAAGGATATGGTTATCTTACATAACGGTCTCTATTCTGTTTGAATTGAGTTTAGGAGGCAGTGATAAGGACGAGCTGCAACCAATTCATAGTGAGAAGAGAGCTATGAACTGTGATCATGTCTTATTTCAAGTTATAAGGTAGTTTCAGTATAAGGATTATTTAATTTGACAAGTTGTTTCGTCCATGATTCATGGTAGTTTCAGTGCCATTCTAGCCATTGTTTAGTCTGTAATTTTTGAGAATTGATGTGCGAGTAATGACTTTCACTTAGCTTCAACTATTATGTGTGTATTTATTTGCATGTGATATAATTCTCTTTTCCTTTTCTTTGAATTCAGTTTCATACTCTAATTGTATCATTTTTACATAGGCAAATCATGCTCGAGATGACAACTCGCTGATATGGCTGGTGCAAGGAACGAAGCCATCATTAGAATTCAGACCGACAACGGGGAGGGATGCCCAGGACTAATTCAATGATGATTGATGATGGTATAATAAAAACTGCAGTCTGCATCAACACCAATTTCTAGGCCTAAGTAAAGTTATTCAACCCAGAACTCTGCTTAGCGCTAAAAATTGCCCTCACCCAACCTTGATCATGTTTGACCCACTTCTGAAGAGTCAAGATATATGACTAATCCTCTCCGTTCGTATTTTCTTATTGACTCTTTCTGACCCTTTAGGTTGGGGTGGGTCGGGAAGAATCGGATTAGTGGGTCGGTCCTAATCAAGTGGAATCCCAATCCCTTCACTCTCACTTGCTTTCTCTCCCATTCCGCAAGTGGGTAACATAAAGTAATCCGGCCAATGGGCCGGGTAATAAGCTAGTTAACCAAAGTAAGAAATGAAAGGACTTGAAAAAAAATAGCGGGAATCTTTTCTTAAATATGCTTAATAAAATACCTTGAAATTAAAATAACAATTTCTTGAAACTTGCATAAGTGGAAATCATAATAAATCCTTATTAAATATGCATCAAATCTCAAATCCTACTCAGTACATGAGCATTAAATTCCTCACTCTGGAAGTCCCCTGACGTCTTGAACCTTGTCGTGATCCAGCCAACTTCCTTAAGCAAGATGTAGAAAATCCTACAATTTCTAAGTGCGGGCATGGGGTCCGTCCTAAGTACTAGGTTCATTTCACTTGGTAGCTAAGTAACTTAACAATGCATACATAAATGCATATGCTCATGCAATGCTCTTGTTTTAAGCAACTTACTTGACTTGAAAAAGTTTTCTTGAAATGGGGCCCCGAGCCCAACTTAACTAGCGGAACCGTCCAGTCACCTAAACGTGATAAACATGGACCTCCATTACTAGGAGGTGAGGTAACCCCGTTAGTTAGGCGACCGTCCAGTACCTAATATATTAACTTGAACATGGACTCCTTGTCTAAAGGAGTGGGTAGCATACATGGACTTCCTCGCTGTGGGAAGTGAGGTGGCTGCGTGCTTAGCTAGTAAGTGAGGTTTAAAACTTGTTCTTGTTTACTTGCTTAACATAACATGATTTGCACTTGCTTGACATGAGGATCATCCGCACAGTGGGAGATCCAGCTCAGGGCATGTTTACTTATAAAGTCGTACTTGATTAAAAGTTAACTTCCTTGCCTAAAACATATGTTAACGTTGAACCATGATTGTGCTATGCATACTTGACTTGAAACATGACATTACCTTGACTTAACATAAGCTCAAACCAAATAAACAAGGCATGACGTGAAGCTCATAACACACAACTTAAACACACATGAAACTTATGAAACACCCAACATAAATCATGTAATTCAAATACTTGGATCAATTTAATCTAACTAACCACCTTGAACCAACGCAGCTTGTATAATTACATTTGCCAATTTTGCCTTCCTCTCCACCCACTACCCATGTTCATCTTGTAAACAACTTATTTCCTTATGCTTCTAATGCTCGTTCGCCATAAAATGGAAAATTGAGTGTTCATATCTCTAGGGCTGTTAATCGGTGCGGTTTTGGTTTAACCGAACCGCACCGTCGGTTAGCCGAAACCAAAATTTGCCCATATTCCCCAACCGAAGTCGAAACCGAAGAGAGCTCGGTTAACCGCCAACCGCAACCGTCGGTTTCGGTTTGATGGAGCGGTTAGTCGAAACCCGCTACGACGAGTTCTGGCAGGGAGTTCGGCAACGACGAAGGCTGGAAGCGGGAGGGCGGCGACGCGAAGAAGGCTGGGAGCGGGAGGATGGCGCTGCGACGAGCTCGACGGCGAGGCTAGGGTTCAGCCGTTCAGAAATGGGGAGGCGGAGGAGCGGCGGCTGAGATTCTGATGTCGTCTCCTTCGTCTTCGATTTGCGATTTAGATTTAGGTCAGGGGAGGGGACTAGGTCTGGGTCTGGGTGGCCGAGAAGAGAAGTGGCATCCGCCCAAAGGAGAAACGACGCCGAATTAGTGACTGGGTCGGTTTTTGCGGTTAATTTGTACGGTTGCGGTTTTCAACCGCTAACCGCTATAATTGCTCCAAGCCGGGAAACAGGCAACCGCAACTCAATCTTGGCAAATGTAATTATACAAGCTGCGTTGGTTCAAGGTGGTTAGTTAGATTAAATTGATCCAAGTATTTGAATTACATGATTTATGTTGGGTGTTTCATAAGTTTCATGTGTGTTTAAGTTGTGTGTTCTGCATGCCAATTGTGTTCCTTTTCCCTTCTCAGTCACTTGCATAACCCTTTACATAAGCATCAAACAATAGCTGCAGCCTTTACGTTGAAGCCTATTTTTTATAGCGTGAATATGAGAGTTTGTTTAATAATAATAATAATAATCCACCTAGGACTCCCCATGTTCTGTACGTTCCAAATGGTGTTCCTAGTAATCCACACTTAATGTTCACACAAATTAGTCCCACCACCCGTGCCAATGATACAGCTGTGAATCTTGTTAATCTCTCGATCAATCCACGTAACCCATCTCCCAACATTGGATTTAGTACTCCATTAGGCCAATTCATCCCATTTGAGAACAAACCAATGAACCCATATTTTGTGACACCTGACCCATTTAGCTCGTAATTGATTTCCGCAAAAGTGCTCTCGGCTCCCCTTTATATCCATTGACGTGCATCAACTAGCTTAGTCCATACGATCATCATCATCATCATCATCGAATTTAAAGGAAGAGATCCCGACCTCGATCCGTCGTCCGTCCGATGCGTTACGACGAACCTGAATACAAATGTCGGGGTTTTACGGTTTTCCTAGATTTTTTGGTATGTTTTATGGGGGTTTTGGTGTGTTTTGTGGCGGTTGTTGTGTTTGTAGAATTTGAGGTTTGTTTTTATGGGTGATTTTATTTGTATTGTTTATTATATCGTTTGTGGCATTTTGGCACGTACTAGCATGGTTGTAATGCTCATTGTAAGATAAGGAATAATTGACTGAAGCGTACCTTCATCTTATCATCATTACCATTGTTGGTGGAAATATAGTTTTCCAGCTGCTATCCTCCTTCTGTTGGACTGTTACATTATCCGAAGATGTTACGATTTGTAGCAGTTGTTGAGCATCTACTAAACCAACAGAAACTTCATCCACAAGATAAAAACCAGATTAATAGCTCTAAACAAGCCAGCTCTTGCTAGTAATTTGTTCTTTATGGTTTAAACAAATAACCGCAGGCCAAATGGCATTTGCATCCACCCAAATCGCCCACCGAATTCTTGAACCAAATAATCGCCCCTCTTTCGAGTTACAGCGGTCGATCTTTTATCCGACAAGAACGAAACAGAATGTTATGTGATGTGGATGGAACCTGAAAGGGACGAACAAACTGCTGTTCACTCCGATAAAAGCTGTTTGTATTCCTCCAGCAGCTTTGAAATATCATCCATTCGCAACTGAAATTAAGAGCAGATCACATGAACCAATGACTTGAAGAAAAAACCAAGTAGATACGAATATTTTAAGTAGATATGAATCATTTTTGCGTTTTCTAGTGACAGAGAGTAGGAACCTTGGTTCCTGTTGAATTAGAAAGCAATTCAAAGATAGTTTCACAGATCTTCAATTTTCCGGATCCCATTGACATGAAAGGATGGCACAGGGAAATATATCACTGCATGACATTCATACCTGTGAAGCATTTCGAAAGTGATAGAACCGAAAAACATCTTTATCGAGAATACCAGCCTCAATTGACTGCAAATCAGCATTACTGTCACAAATGCAAAAACAGGTCTGAGATCAATAACTCAAATGTACAAGCAAGATAGATGCACCAACATAACCTTGAAACTGGGTCCGTTAATTTAAAATTGGGTGCACACTTTTACTGCTTTTGCGCAGAACAACAATAATTATCATTCTCACTCACCTACAGCGCCGAGCAATCATTCGTTGGTAGTCACGAAGCAAGGGTCCAATCTCCTTCAGTGCTATTGATCCAGGTGAAGCTGTCCTCCAATGATCACGAACTAACCTAATTCCCTATTTTTCATTTGCCGGAGAGATTGTTACCACCAGAACTTTGATATCACAAAAAAAAAAAAGAAACTATAAAACGCAAAAAAACTTGGATGACCAGTGAACCTGCTCATTAGTAGAACTCGGCAAAAGTTCAAGTAATTCTCTATCTTCCTGCTCATCTACGATTTGCAGACCTGATGCAGGAAGCGCAACTGATACTTCCAGCCTCTTCTGCAATTCTAACACAGCAGATCCCACCCTTTGATTTTCCTGTCATTAAGAAGCAAGGATAACAATATCATGTTGCAATCAAATATCGGAACAGCTATCAACAATGAAAAGAAAATGAAAAATAACCACTGTAAAGCAAAGCAGTCAATGTATGCCATCACTATCAGAACATTCTGAGCTTTGAAAAATGGATGATTCACATATGGACCTCATGCATATTACCATCAAGGCCAAGGAGCTAAGAAATAGAAGTTATCTTCGGACTTCTTAGCCCAATAAAATATAAAATAAATGAGGTTGTCTTTGGTAGTTGAAGTTGTGACATTGAATGTCTTTTTACTGGATCACTGTGTTCTGAAAACATCATGATAAACAACAATATGTCCCATATCGAGTAAAATCATACATTATTGACAGGGCACTAGACATAAACAGCTTAATGATATCTGCATTATTCTTAAGAAGGTGGGAAACAGCGTCCATTTTACATATAATGTTTAATTCTACCAAATCTGAACCTAACAAGAACCAATGCACCAAGCTTCTGGATCATATTGTCAGACAGTTGCATGATATCAATAAGGATTTCAATAGAAACTTCGCAGAATACCTCTAGTAATGGTTGTTTAGTCATGCTGGCATCAAAAGTTTCCTGCACATTTTTTCTTGGAGTTGCAACCAGCCTCCTGGTTACAGGATCCCCTGAGGATGAGATAACACTTTAGTACTTCACAATGTGAGAGATGAATGACGAACCTAAGAAGGGAATTCCATGGAAATGAAAACTTTAATTTTCTAGATTTAAAACTTGTCGTCAGAAAAAAGGCAATCAATCAGAATCAAGAAAAAAATGGAAATAGTAAATCAAGATAAACAACAGCAGGAATAGTCACAATAACGTACCAAGTGCTGCCAATATACTAGTGTTGTTTATCACCCATTGTTAGTACCAAACTTAACACCCACTGTTTTACATATCTGCCATTAATTTGGGTGAAATTATCTTACATGATCTAGTTGACCAGGTGAGTTTGCAATATTGAATTCTGCATAAGTGCAAAGAGTAACTTGACAACATTTTGTATTCGTACCTTCTGGCACCAGCCACCATATATCACCAAATGTCGACTTCCCATCAAAGCCACCAAACAACAGATAACGTGGCCCAGCACACATCATTGTGTGGTATGCTCGAGCAGGAGGAGGGTCACTGCCAATAGGCAATCGTTTCCACTGTGCAGAAACTACAAGTAAAAAGGATTGGTAAATCAACAGCCACAAGGTCAAGTAGGATATGGAAGGAGCAATATCTGTTACCAGTGATTCTGAAAATCTGCAAAGTTTAGAAGGATGCAGATCGCGAAATATGAAAATAAAGCAGGCAATGGTCACCAAAAAAAGAGCAAGCAACATGAGATTTGTTTGGAAATTTTGATTGACAGTGTGTATGTCGCATGAATTTAAATTTTCAAATAAGAGGATGGTTTAAATTTGTTGACTGTAATAATACATTGTTTCAATCTTTGTGATCACAAAATGAAATTCTCACATTTTGGAGATCAATGATCAGTAATTGGAGTAAAAAAGAGCTTTAAATTGGAGTAATGGAAGAGCAGAAAGGAAATAGAATACAATATGCAAAATGAAGCATTTGAATCTCAGTTAATCCTACTTGAAAAGCATTTGAATCTCAGTTTAACCTGGTGCAGCCGGCTAAAGCTGAGACCGTCTCTGCAGGAGGCTGAAAAGGTTTCTGATGTTTAGGAAGAAGAAGAAGACCATCTGAGGGCATTACCACGGAAGAGGTGGCAGCTGATGAAAAAGATGCAGCGTCCATTCCGGACTGTAGTTTGCAGGTTGTAATAGAATTTGGCTGCACAAGAGAGTGAACTTGGTTCGCTTTTTGCCAATGACAAATCCTTCTCAGTTTCTGCTGCTACCCATCCAGAAATGCAAATGGCTTCTATCATAGCAGATTATTACTCAAAATGGAAGTGGTCAAGTTTCAGGTGAAAGTATGAATAGTGACCAAAAGGTGGAGCCTGAGCTTCCTTGGAGCGATGATAATGTTGAAGATGATGATAAACATGTTGATAGTGTGGAAGGAATATTGGAACATGAAGAGCTGAGTTGGCTGTACTTGTACCGGGCTTATTATATACAGCCCAGGAGTTCCTAAGTGAGGAAGAAGCAAGGTTGAGTGTATGGCGTGACCCAGTCACAACTAGTACGGCCGCATAGTAGCAGTTGCTATGGAGCGACCTTTTGAAGATTCCGGTGACGTTAATGATGGAGTGCACGAGGAAGAGCGATTCTCAGTTCATTATTTTGGGATTAAAAAGAAGGATGAAGACTTGTCTGCCCATTATTTTGGTGGTGAAGTAACGACACTGGAGAAGAATCGCTCGAGGCTGGAGCTATCAGTGCTAGAAGTCCGACTCAAGTGCCGGAGCACCATTGGAAACGGAGGAAGCGGAAGCACCTGCGGGGCCCACCGAGATATCGCGTCGAAAGTATGGAAAGCCAGCAACATTGGCTACAGCTTGAGAGCAAAGTTGGTCTCAAGAGCGTATGATGGAAAATCATGTTTTTCTCATTGTTATTATATCAATTAGTAGGATACCTATTATTAAGGGTAGTAGCCGTGTAGTATTAGGTTTTCAGGTCATTTTCTATATATAATGTACTTTGCACATTTCGTGAGAATTATCACATAAGTTAATGTGAAAAGTATCCCCAACCTCGACCCTCTTAATCTCGTCCCTCTCACCCTAAAGGCCGCCGGCCATTCTTCTCTTTTCGGTCTCCAATTTCATCTTCCAAATCCCTCATCCCCAATTCTCATTCCAATCTCCAATTATACTCTTTCTATCCCAATCCCTAATTCGATATCTAAATCCCTACTCAATCCAATTATCAATTATCTAAGCCTATCAAGAACGCTCTAGATCCGATTTCCATCACATATATACTCAAGAAAGCCATGACACCCCTAGTAACCTTGTATTATAACTTCTAATTAGCATTGAGAAAGAACATACCCCTGTCCAAGATAATGCAGTCGTTGTAATAGATATCATATCGACTCAACCAACCGCCAGTTCCGTGTCCTCCAAAGAGCAATAACTGAAAATACATCATCAGCCGTCAGATCAAATTAGTACTCAAAAAGAATAATTATTTCAAACTAATGGAATATTGTATTAGCCAGATAGATTTCACTGATAAAAATGGTGAGTATATAAAAAGACAAAACGGCAGCAAATAGTGTTCTGAGATGTCCTCACATTAACCCCACCAGAAGTTATGGTATGCCCACAGCGAGGAGAAGGAGCTTGACCAGGAAGCTTCAATTGGGTCCATCCAGGTGATTCATTCTCTTCCTTCCACAATATAGAGAAACAAAAAGCCAATTGATCTTATTCACTCCAGATAAGGATCAAGTGATAACACTCAATTAACAAAACAGATAGTGAAAACTAGGAGTCAAACAAAAAAAAAATGAACTGCTATCAATAAAATGGATTTGTAACAGGATAACCGGAATGACAAAAATTGTGGCTCATTGTACGTCATGAGTTATACAAACTTAATTTTCAATGAGACTTAAGTGCTACCATCTGGACTAGTTTGCTCATTTTTATACCTTATGCATCATGCATCCTAACATCACCATCAGGTATCAAGTACACGATTCTGAAAATAGTGATCTTATGCTGCTATCCCTTGTGGATATTAAATACTAATAACAAACATCACTGGAGCGAAGTTAGTAAATTGGAAGTAAGAACACCATGAAAAGTTATACGAGCCAGCATGATCACACATGAGACTCTGATAGATATAACTACAAAAGATCAAAACAAAAGGATTAAATACCAACCTTCTTCAATTAGACCCTTCAGAGCCCATAAATCACCCATGATTGGACCACCACCACCTAGCAAAATTTAAAACATGAAAAGAATCAAAAGCCAGTCTACGATAAGAAAGCAATCAAATATATTATGCATTTGTACATCTCCAAGATCCAAACATCATAAAAAAGAACCATGCATCTGAACTAAACCAAAAAACGTTGGTAACAAAACAACAGGCCATGCAAAAGTAACTAAGCCTTATATATCGTCCTGAATGAGGAGTTGTCCTAGGACAGCAGAGGACAAAACATATTGATATGAGAAGCTACCTGGATAAAACTCTTAACAGGAAAAGAGCCAGCTTTAAAACACATATTTAACTAAAAACCTTGATAGCATTGATTCTGCATAACATCATTCGCAAGAAACTGAGGAGCAAAACGTATAAATCTAGTTTATTTTGAAGTCCAAATCCATGATGCCAACATATTCACCAGAACAAATTCAATCTATCTCTTACACCAATCCTGAGAAAGCACTCAGCACCTCATAAGGTTTAACATAGCACACAAGGAAATGCAAGGAGTACAGCCTGCGGTACCTCTGCCACCATAGACAAGTAATCGCTTCTCAACCATGGTAACTGTATGACCACACCGAGGAGGGGGTAATGTTCCAGTGACTGCCAGCTCTGTCCATTCAAGTGATGCTGTTCAAAGAAGAATACCAGCGAAATGAGGAAAGCCCACACCAAATCACCAATCTTGACCAAATAAACAAAGCCAAAAGGAATCCCAAACATCAAAGAGACTAGAACATACTCGTATCCAGGACGTAGACATCCGACAACCACTTCTTGCCATCCCAACCACCAAACCTACACCCAATAATTCTCACGATAATTGAATAATGAAAACAATGCCCCTTGGTTAGCGAACAATGTAATGAAAAACATACTTACATGACAATTTTCTGGTTTCCAACTGCAGAAGCTGCTGCAAAATCCCTCGGTGAGGGCAAATCACCGAAACTTGCCAGCTCAGACCATTGCCAAGTATCTGGAGAATAGATAAGTTGGATCAATGCCTCTCATTATCACAACGGTACACATACCGTAAAATATCATTGCAGTAGATCTTGCAGTTGGCAGACGCAAATCCAATTGCAGTTCTATTCCTGGGTTTTCATGGGTAAGGGGATGGAAGTTCATCAAGTACTATATTATACAGCCCTAGTATTTAGTGAAATACCCAGTCAGGAAAATGCTAGTGTGTTCTTACCAGTATCAAGAAGCCAAAAGTCACCCAACCTGAAAAATACAAATTCCTGGTCAGTATAATTGCACACCCAGCTTGCAACTAATCATTCAAAGTAGTCAAAATTCCAGCTTTCCAAAAACCTTTTGCCACCAAATCTCCCACCAAACACGAACATTAAAGTATCAATGGCGACCGCAACATGAAATGCCCGGGGGCTGGGACCAACTTGCCCATCAGACCCATTTCCACTGCAGTCTGGCGTAAACCACATCTTCTTTTCTGGAAGAAAATCGAAAGCTCTCAGGGCCTCACTCACAACCCGAAATTGCAAAAATTTACAGATTACACCACAAAGTGGCTCCCCCTCAGTGGGGGGCTATGAAGTTAAGAACATACCAACATCATAAACATAGATGTCACTTAGGAATGTCTTATCTACAAGACCACCAAAGATGACAACCTTAGATTTCCCAACCATGACGGCCGTATGACCACTGCAGGAATCAATCAAAAACAGGCTGATCAAAAAAACTTCCACGATTCATGACGAAAGAGAGAAACGGAAGGTGGCTAACCGAAACCTAACCTGCGAGGCTGGGGAAGAGGTCCCGTAAAATCAACAGGAGAAGCTTGAACCCAGTAATGCATGATTTAAAATTTTTCTTTCCGACAGATCGCAGCCTCGCCCTTCTGTAGTTCTTTTTGCTAAAGCTCCAGACTCCAGAGTCTAGAGCACTAGTTAGTAGTTATCCTGACACTTCAGACCTAAAAGTGATTCCAAAGATCCTGGCTATAATTTGAGTGGAGGGAAGAGACAGAGAGAGGATTTGGGGCTGTAGAATGGAGAAGGAGGAGGTAGAGGATTTTTGTAAGGATTTAGGGAGGTTGAGATCACCACGGTTGAGAGAGAGGAAGCGTGCGCCACTAGTGATGGCAATTTCAACCCGCCCCGCGGGTATTACCCGACCTGACCCGCGATGGGGCGGGTATTACCCGACCCGCAGTAGCGTGGGGCGGGGCATGGGTATCTACTTCAGACCCGCCCTGCCCCGCCCCGCCCCGTTCTAGACTCATTTTATCTCAATTTCTTACAATATCTATACATATTTCTCCTATTTTGACTTTTCTTCAACTAGTTAGAGTCGATCTTTCAACTTGTTAGGCTCAATTATCCATTCTATTATCAATATTTTTCATTCTTGAAGTGTTTTTCCCTGCGTTTTATTGTAAAAAGTAAAATTTACTTGTATTTTTTTGAACAAACATGTAAGAGTGGGTCGACCCGCCCCGCCCCGCATCCGCGCGGATTTTACCCGCCCCGACCCGTAGTAGCGTGGGGCGGGGCATGGGAATTGAGGTACCCGCCCCGCCCCGCCCCATTGCCATCACCATGCGCCACGAGCCCACGACGTTGGTGGGAGTGAGAGAGAGTCAACCAGTCGGTCTGGATGGGTTCATAGCTTATCAATAATTAAGGTTAGTCACAAATGACATATAAAAAAATTGGGGTTATAGGGGGAATGGATCAGGTCAGTAACCTTATGGTGAGTAACCATGAGTAACCCGTCCACATCAGTATGACATCAGCATCCTCTCTCTCATGGAAAGCCTCTAATTTTTCCCTTTTTAATCTTTGACGGACGATTTCTCGCTCATTTTAAGTCGAAATTTAAATTTTTTTGCACAGTTAGATCAGATTAATTGTGCTCTTCAAAATGATATCCACTTTAATATATTTATCGAACAAAAAAATTGAGCCATTTTTTACCAGCCTATACCATATGGTATTGACTGGTATTGAAATAAAAACATACCTATGTTTTGAAAAACGTACCATGGTGGTATGAACAAACCAATACTGTAGGATGGTTGAATACATGATAGTAGAAGTATATTAATTGTAATTTACGACTTTTAACATTGTATACCACACAATACCACCCCGTACCAGGGTGGTATTGTATGGTATTGTGTGGTATTTTTTGGTCCTGTAATTTGTTCACCCAGAAATTTGTAGATCCAATAGATCATGATCAACTCGTCCCTTCTGTGCAAACGTTTTCAAAAACGAATTAAAAACGAAGAAGATACCATACAATACCACCTCGTACCAGGGTGGTATTGTATGGTATTGTGTGGTATATTTTGGTCCTGTAATTTGTTCACCCAGAAATTTGTAGATCCAGTAGATCATGATGAACTCATCCCTGCTGTGCAAACGTTTTCAAAAACGAATTAAAAACGAAGAAGATACCATATGGTATGCAGTTGGTACCGAGAGGCCAGAATTTTTTTTTCTAAAAAAATATTGAAAATTGATCTCATTTTGTAGAGCACGATGAACTCATTCCATCTGTGCAAAAAAAATTAAAATCCGAGTTAAAACGAAAAAGATATGAGTCAATTAAGAAAGATAGTGAAAATAAAAATAGTCTTTAATTCTCCACCCTTAGATCTGGATTTTCTAAATGAAGGGTCCAGATTTGGTTATTGATGGGTGCATAACCCATGGTTATGCACCCTATCTTGAGCCGGTTATAGGTATAATATGTCATCTACTATAACATTTTATCAAACATGCCTTTCTATTATTTTTCACATCAAACATGTCCTTGTATTTTGACAAAATTATCAAACATACCCTTCTGCTAAAATTTCCATAGAAAATATCGTCAATCATGGTTGAACCGAGATTTAGACGACCCGACATCGGCAAATGGGAAGAAAATTATCAGTTTTGTCCCCCGTTTTATTTCTCTGGGTCTATTCAAAGTGAAATTATTTGAATTATTTGACTATACAAAAGAACCAAAAAAATTCTGGAGTGAAATTATTAGGGATATTTGAGACATTTGTGTCGCCCAAACCAAAGTTCGCCATTGGTTAACGGTTTTTGGATGAAAATTTTAAGAAAAGTGCATATTTGATAATTTTACAAAGTACAGGGGCATGTTTGACGTGAAAAATAGTAAAGGGGCATGTTTGATAAAACATCATAATAGAGGGCATATTATACCTATAACCCAAAAAATTGTGTAACATAAATGATAAGATAAATTGTAAGGTTGGTCTTTTTATTTTTTTTTAGAAACAGAGCGCAGAGGGGCGCTCTAACCCTTATTCATTAATCAATCGGGGTGTTTGTACCCCAATCGTGTCAAACAGCAGGCAGTACTTCAAGCTAGGTCCCGGGTGGTCTAACACATGGAGACCAATAGACAAAGAGTGGCCGACAGAGGCCATATAGTCTGCAACGTAATTGCTCTCATGAAACACATGTTCGATCTTTACCTCCCACTCTCGGTCCAGTAAGCGCCTGATAGCTGCGCCCATCGTGCTATGGGGATGGTTTGCTCGGTTGGCTCGTATGATTGACCCCGTCGTCCTCGAATCTGTATGTAGCCAGACCTTCCTTACTCCTAGATCCCACGCAACTTGGAGGCCATAAGCGATACCTGCCAATTCAGCATGCGTTATCGATCCTCTTCCTAAATTCGCCGAGAATGCCTTCATGAACTGTCCGCTACTATCCCTTATCACTCCTTCAACCGTAGCGCTACCCAAAGAGGGATTCACCGAATTGTCCGTATTAAGAGCAACCCACCCCGGAGGTGGCTTTCGCCAGCTGACGTAGCTCGTCGTTCTCTCCAACCGCTGCCCCATAACTTCCGCGGCCTTACTCATGGCAAGGCTGCTTTGGCGCACTAGCTCTTTTGCTTGTCTCGCCAACAGAGTTGTCGGCGCCAAAGTCCTCTCGAATACCAATTTGTTTCTATTCTTCCAGAGTTTCCAGCAGAGAATAGCAAACAAAGATGGATCCACAATATGACTCCGGCCAGCTAGGTAGTGAAGCGCCCATCTCGTAGGATCTTCCTCAAAGAACACACTGTCGGCTCCTCCTCCAAAACCTCCGACCAGGCCGCCCTAGCGTAGGGGCAGTCTCTAATGACGTGCATGGCCGTCTCTAGGCCACCACCACAAACTTGACACGCGTCCGTCGGGGCTAGATGGCGCCGACACCGCTCAGCATTGGTAAGCAGCCTGTTATGTAACACCAACCAGAAGAATGAACGAGTTCTTTGTGGTCCTTCTATCCGCCAGCAACGTTTCCAAACTGGGTAGGCTTGCCCTGCTTCCTCATCCTCGCGAAGTAACTCATATGCTGACTTGACTGTGAACTAACCAGACGAGGATGAACGCCAGACAGGGGTATCCGAATCACTCCCTTCCGGAACTGGGTGTAACAATATCTGCGACACTAGAGCTTCGGGAAGGAACGCCCGGAGATAATGGTAATTCCACTCGCCATTCAAAACCAACTCAGCTACCGTGAGCTCCCGTGCAGCATCTGGAGATCATTCGTGAATTCCTCGAGAGGCGGTCCGTCTTGAAGCCATATATCTGTCCAGAACCTAATTTGAGCACCACTTCTAATATTCCACATCATTCCCCTCGCCATCAAGTGGAGAATTTGTAAAACTCCTCTCCACATATTCGACAAACGACCTTCCGTCCTTGCCTGCCACCCCCTAACCGTCCGCCGCAGGTATTTGCCTTGCACCACTCGAGCCCATAGCTGGTCCGGCTCTGATAACAGCCTCCACACAATCGATACTCGGTTATGGATGCATGACCGGGACCCCCAAGTAGCGGCCGAGGTTCTTAGTCTCTGGTATACCCAGCGCTCCACTCAAAGCTCCCCCCTCAGCAACAGTGACATTTTTTGAAAAGAATACCCGAGACTTGGGGCGACTTATCTGTTGGTCCGGAGCCGCTCCAGACTCCTCTAGGCATCATAGAATCACCTGGACCTGCCGCATATCTGCCACACTAAGCAAGATCAGGTCATCAGCGAAGAACAAGTGTGAGAAAGGGGGTCCCTGACTCGACAGTCGCATTGGTTTCCATTCACCATGTGTCACTCACTGCGTGCGAAATAAGATGCCCTAGCCTCTCCATAGACAATGTGAAGATATATGGTGAGAGCGGGCAGCCTTGGCGAAGTCCACGAGAGGGTGCAAAGTACTCAGTCAGTCCACCATTCCACTGAATCTGCATGGCAGAAGAAGAGATACAGCTGATAGTTAAATCAATAAATTGTTGGGGAGCACCCACTGCATGCAAGATATCGCGAACAAAGCTCCATTTGATCATGCCATACGCCTTGTCTAGGTCAATTTTAAGAATCATCCAGCCAACTCTGCCCTTCTTAGCCCACATCGAATGCACTACTTCCTGCAAAATGCACATATTATCAGTAATATGTCGGTTTGGCACGAAACTTGTCTAGGTCTCATGCACCATGCTCGGCATGAGAGGCTTTAATCTCTCCGCCAAGCACTTAGTGACTATCTTGTACGTGACATTGCAGAGGCTGATGAGGCGGAACTGGTCAATGGTTGTTGGCTTCGCCACCATCGGAATGAGGACTACAATGGTCTCATTCAGCTCCTTCACCCTCGATGGGAAACTCCAACAAGCCTGAATAAACTCCAACACTATAGTTCCCACAACTTCCAAGTTCCGCTGGAAGAATAACGGGTTGAGGCCATCCTTTCCAGGAGCCTTGAGTGCTCTCATTGCCTTCATTGTCGTATGGGCAAGACCCCTCCCGGAGACCAGGAAATGTTGCATGTAAAACATAAATAGGGGCCCCATCGTCAGTATACAGTGCTTCATAGCACTGGAGCGCCATGTCGAGGAGTCCCGCTTGATCCTCCACCCAAACCCCTGTTGTTCTTCAAGGCAGAGATGCGGTTTTTCCTCCGCCGGCTGATGGTCCAGGAGTGGAAGTATCTAGTGTTTCTATCAGCTGAGATGATCCACTCCAAGTTCGATTTTTGGCACCAGAGAAGCTCCTCTTGGAGAAGCACATCTTCCAGATCAGCATGCGCCTGTCGAAGCCTCAGGTCATCGTCCTCTCCACCGCCCCGTTGCTCTAACCGCCCAATCCTGTTGAGCAGTTTATTCTTCCTCTGCAGAATATAACCAAACTCATGTTGGTTCCATTGCGTCGCCTCCTCGGTAAACTCTGCAATGGCTGAGGTTAGATCCGTGCCTCGTGCCCATGCTCTCTCCATCATACCCTTAAACCCCTCATGAGTTAGCCAAGTCGCCAAGAACTTGAAGGGCTTAGGGCCGGCAGGATGGAAGGAATGATCCACTGTTATAAGAAGCGGTCTATGATCACTTCGAATCCTGGGGAGATGGCTAATCACCGTGTCCGGGAAGATATTAGACCAAGTTTAGTTCACTAAGTTTCTATCAAGGCGCTCCTTAACACCCGATCGAAACCACTTATATGGAGGCCCTGTGAACCCCAAATCGATCAACCTCGTATCCAACAAGCAATCCTGGAATTCTCGAGCCCGAGCAACATCGAACGGTGCACCACCCATCTTATCGGCTCGTTGGAGGATCGAGTTAAAGTCCCCAGCCAATATC